TCAAGAAAATAAAAACATTCAAACATGGAATGTACAAAAGAGGCAAATATATATTGAATATATTGTGTAATTGAAAGGAAATTTATTATTGCACAAATATTTTCAAAACATATAAAAATGTGTGTTGATTGTTTAATCTACTGCTTTAATACATTTATTTATCAGTTCTAATAGTTTCTAGGGAAAGTCTTTTGTTTCACTCTGCACAAGAATCATGATATATGTAAAGAGGAATAATCTGGTTTGTTCTTTTCATATCTGTATTTAATTTCTTTGTTTTACCTAATGGTTCTGGGTAAATCTTCCAGCATCAAAAATTGAATTACAGTAGTGAGAGTGGATGCTTGTCTGGTTCCAGGTCTTAGAGTGAACACTTTCAACTTTTTTCCATTCAATACAATGTAGTCTTTTTGTTTACTATGTATAACCTTTATTATGTTGAAGTATTTTCAACTAATTTCACTAATTAGATCAAGATTTTTATAGTGAATGGATGCTGAATTTTATCACATTTTTCTGTCTTTTAAGATAATCATATGATTTTTTTATCTTTCACTCTATTGATGTGATGTATTATGCTTACTATTCTGTAATCAGTGAACCCTTACTGCATTCTTGGGATAAATTTGACTTGGTCATGACCAATGATTTTTTTTACGTGTTGTTGAATTCAATTGGCTAGTATTTTGTTTGCAATTTTTGAGTCTGTATTCATCCAAGATATCAGCTTATAATTTTTATTTTGTCATTAACATTAGTCTAGAAAATTAGTATATTAATTTCATCATATGCTTAGATTTACCATCCATGAAACTCTTTGTGGTAATAGCACTGAAAGTCTATTCTTTCAGTAAACTTAAGTTAAAATATTCCATCAACTAGTGTACATATTATACATTAAATCTCTACATTGATTTAACTTGCAGATTATTACCTTGAAATGAACATTCCCCATCCCATCCCATTCCCCATTCCCCGTTCCCCATTGTGACTTCTAATAATCGATGTTCTTCTTTGCTTCTATGTATTAAATTATTTTAAATTCCACATATCAGTGAGATCATGCAGTATTTTTATTTCTGCATTAAGTTTATTTTACTTAGCATGTTGTTTGTCAGGGTCATTCATGTGTCACAAATCATAGGATCTCCTTTGTGAGGGTCAGCAATATAATATCTAAGATACACACGTATCCCATCACACACACACACAACACACTGCAATTAGTTTTTCCATATATCTGTTAGTGATATTCCATTCTCTGTGGTCCAGAGAATGTAACTAGGGAAAACAGAACTTTGTCCACAACCAGAGCTAGGAGATTGAGGAGCCAGTCTGTCGGCTGGAAGCACTAAGAGTTGGAGTGCTGCATATATGGACAGACTCCTTCCAGGCAGAAGTTGGAGACCTGGGTTAATCACTAGACCTGTGGTGAGTGAATAAGCAGACTCATAGAATGGCAGATGTCCTAAACAGCACTCTGGCCTCAGAACTGGACCTTAAGGCATTCGAATCTGGCTGAAGATCCCATGAGAGTATTTTAGGCATGGAAAGCTAAGACATTCTTCCAAAAAACAATACATAAATGAAAGATCTCTGCGAGTGAGATCCCAGTAGAAATAATGGGCCATCAAAGAAGGAGGTAACTTTCTCTGAAGAAAGGAAATTACTTCCACTTTGACTATGACTTTATCTAAATAAGATCAGAGTCAGTGAACTCAAAATGCTTCCATAGCCTTGGCAACTCATGACAAGAGCCTAGGGTGATTACTGACGCCTAAACAAGAGTGTCAATTTGTTAAGTCAACAACAGGAGTCACTGTGCACTTACTCCTCATGTAGGATCTCTGTCCTTAGTGTGCTGTACATTGAGATTTAATGCTATAACTAGTACTCAAACAGTATTTTTCACTTTGTGTTTCTATGTGGGTGCATACTGTTGAAACCTTTACTTAATATATACTAAATTGATCTTCTGTATATGAAGAGAACTGAAAGTGAATCTTGATGTGAATGGAATGGGAGAGAGAGTGGGAGATGGGGAGGGTTGCGGGTGGGAAGGATTTATGGGGGGGTAAAGCCATTGTAATCCATAAACTGTACTTTGAAAATTTATATTTATTAAATAAAAGTTAAAAAAAAGAAAGTAAAATATGTTGCAAAAAATACATTTTTTCAAGTACCTGCTTGAAATATGTACACACTCCATAGTAAAATGTATCAAGTGATTTTCCCTTTTTTATTTTTTTAATGATTTATCCATGTATTTGAAAGTCAGAGATAGAGAGAGAAAAGGAAAAAGTAGGAGAGAGAGAGTCCATCTGCTGGTTTACTCCCTAAATGTCCACAATGGCCAAGGCTTGGCCCAGCTGAAGCCAGGAGCCAAGAGATTCATCTGGGTCTTCTACATGGGTAGCTGGGGCCCAAGGAGTTTGGTCACCTTCCACTCCTTTCTCAGGTGCATCAGCAGGTAGCTGGTTTGGAAGTGGAGCGGCAGGGACTCAAACTGGCACCCACATGGAATGCTAGCACTGCAGGTGGTGGCTTAGCCTTCTATGTCACAGCGCAGACCCCAAGTGACGTTTTTCAACCCCAAAACTCTGTATATCTTTTCTCAAAATCCTTTCTTTGCTCACAAATAGACAAACACTGAATGTTCTCATGAACATGTTGATCTCATAGAAATAACAGTACAGATGTACCAGAGGATGGGGATGGTGGAAGAAAGGGCATACAAAATGGACAGTAGATGCGAAAATACAGTTAGAAAGGAACAATAAATTTCATTATTCTATGGTACTCTAAGTTGATTATCGTTAAAAATTTACAGTGTTTTTCAAAATCACAAGAGAAGATATCAAATATGCACAACCCAAAGTAGTAACAAATGCTTGAGATGATGTTAATGTTAATTATTTTATTGTGATTATTAGACATTATATACATGTATGGAAAAAGCACCCTGTATCCAATGCATATGGACAATTACTATGTGCCAATTAAAATTTTAAAAATTTAAAATCATTGTCCACCAATCCTAAAGTATCATATTACCATTTATGTCAGATTCTAAGCAAACTGTTCCACCACCTTGATAAGTTTGTTTTCACCAGACTTCAGAATGAGTACAAATATCTAGAAGGTTTTTCCATTTCTGAGATTCTAGTGCCCCTGTGGGGGGGGACTGCACCTGAAAGTGCTGTGCAATGATGTCAGCTTTGTCTTATGGACAGGGCATATGAATGGCACTCGGGAAGCACCGTATAGGTTGGGCATAATCACTCCTGCTATAAATCATGTGACTATAGACTGTGCCTAGATCCTAGGACCAGTATCTATGGATATTTTTGAACCTTGAATGGACCAGTCGTATTCATGGAGAACTACCACTATAGAGATGTAAATGTATCATAACATAGCCCGGAAATCAAAGAAAATATGTCTTAATCTATTTATTCTGTAGGCGTAAACAAAGCCTTTGCAAGCATGACAAGAACAAAAACAAAATGGCCGCAGACAGGGAAGGAAATTACTGGCGTAAACAGATATGAAAATAGATGTTAACATCTTTAATAGCTACATCTACCACAGCAGGTTTGAGACATACTGGTCCAAAACAATAACCTTGCGTTATCCTTAGCGCTCCGAAAGAATAACACTGCTCACAAAACAAACATTAGGAGCAATTCCTTCGTACTTCTGCAGAGCTTTGGGACTCTAAGTTCTGCCCACACGTGTCTGACTCAGTGCGCATGCTCACTGCCTCACGTGTTCCCTATTGCGCATGCGCCTTTGTATTGGCGTTCCGTGTGCACACCTGTGCTGCGGGAGCCATTTATAGCAGTCTTCTTCCTTTTTGCCTGCCTGAGAGTCAGTCGGTAGGTGCCTTCTGTCGGATCAGTTTAAATGTGAATGAGTGTGAGAAGGCGCCAGGTATCTTCATGGCATTGACTGATGTGGTACGTGGACTCAGAGGAGAAAGGGCGTCGGAGGAGAATGGGCCAAATGACGATGGGGGAAGGGTTGAGGCTGTTGGAGATGTTTTTGTCTCAGAGGCTCCTGGAATGGCTCACAGGGGATAGATTTCCAGTCGTCAGTGGGACATAAGGCTGGGCAGATGGTGAGGGAAGGACAAAGAGACCAGGGACACTTAAGTGATGACAGAATCTCCAAAATACTTAAGGCACTAGGCGGAGATGCCCAGTGAGGGGTGTGGCCGTTGCTTTCTATAACGACTTCTCACTTTTCCCCGGATGGTGTAGAAACATCAGCAGAAGGAATGATAGAAACTGTGCATCTTAACAAGAACTATTTTAGATGACAAACAGGCCTAGTCAGTGGGATTATGACAAAAAGAATAGTCACTTGAATTTTCATTGTGTGGTGGATTTCCTAGAATGTCTCCATAACAGGAAATTCAATTATATGATAAATATCAATGTTTTTTTGCCAGACTTGTCAATGTAAATGCTGTTACCAATAATCAAAAAGTATGGAAATGCATGTATATCCTTGGAGTTTTTTGAAAATACTTCTAACATATTTGAAAGTTAAAAATTGACATTTGGGCCAGCACCGCGGCTCACTAGGCTAATCCTCCACCTTGTGGCGCCAGCACACTGGGTTCTAGTCCCAGTCAAGGCACTGGATTCTGTCCCGGTTGCCCCTCTTCCAGGCCAGCTCTCTGCTATGGCCCGGGAGTGCAGTGGAGGATGGCCCAAGTGCTTGGGCCCTGCACCCCCATGGGAGACCAGGAGAAGCACCTGGCTCCGGGCTTCGGATCAGCGCGATGTGCCGGCCACAGTGCACCAGCCACGGCTGCCATTGGAGGGTGAACCAACGGCAAAAAGGAAGACCTTTCTCTCTGTCTCTCTCTCTCACTGTCCACT